CCCCCCCCCCCCAAAAAAAAAAGAAGATTTGTTTTGTCAGGCTATCATACCATTTCAATAGCCAGCACATTCCCGAGTATACGTGCAAAATTTGGTCCAGCATAAGGCAGACAGAATGCACTATAAATGAACTCAAGCCTTACGAGGAGGCATCAGGAAGATTAACTTAAAGTGAGCAACAAGGGCTACTAAAACTGAATGTGGTTTGACATTGAAGTTTAAGGTATACAAATTGATACCAACAGTTGTTCACCCAATAAGTCATAATGCAATTAATATGAAGTGCTTTAGTAGTAAGTCTGCATTCGAGATGATGATAACATGCCCAGTAGTTAACAAGTTCTCTTCCTGGTCAAAAATATTTCCAGCAGCCAACCATGAACACCTCAGATTGAAATCTATTCATTAGCTGACTTGCGCAGAAAGATGTTACACAAAGTGGGAAACTATATCCATAATGCCAAGAAATGAACAGAAATTACTAGAAGATAAGACCTTTATCATGTTTCAATAGCAACAGGGAAAAAACAGATAAGAATACCTTCTGCACTCTGGCAAGTAAACGAGTAAGATTGCTTTTTAAACTTCTCACTTGCTCAAGATTCTTCGTGCTAACATTCATGGCCAGTTCATCCAAAACTGGGTAAGCATCTCTCTCCAGCTCTGCTACGCTAGAGTCTAGGAATGTACAAACAACCTCCAAGGCAATCTCCAGCACCTGAAACTCAAATGGTAGCTCAGCCTGCAGACCTTCGACAGCTTCTGGAACAGATAACCAGTTTCCAGCAGTTGGAAATTGTCCTTCATTATCTTGTTCAGCACTAGTACCATCAACCTTTGAAAGACTTTTATGAGGAAGTTGTTGCCTCAGTTGATCCACAAATGGGAGAACCTCTTGACGTAGAGGATCAAGCAACAACACCTCTTCAGCTGTAATTATGGCTCTTATAAACTCCAAATTGACAACCATGGCCTTCTCCCTTGCTGCAAGTTAAAAGAAAGGAGCTTTTCAATTCCTCGAACCCCAACATCACATTTCTTTTTTTTAAAGCATTCTACTAGGTACAAGCAAATGCTAGAAAAGATACACATGTATTATATCAAAAGCTTCCAACAGCTAAGCTAAACATAATGGTTAAGCTTCCTACAGTTAAGCTAAACATAAAGGTGCATATTTTATTTATTATTGTTGGAAACACACGGACAGATTTATAAGCAGTTAAAAGGGGTAAAACAAAGTAATAATACCAAGAATGCTGGAGGAGTGAGAGAAGATTGGGCCAAGAATCCTCAAGTCCCTAGCAGGAATACCAGCGCGTTTGATAATAGCGCTCTTATCCCACTCTATCAACTCCGATTGACCCCGCTTATCGAATCTCATCCACAGCCTCGCCCCACCCACCTTCTTCTTCACCACTTTACTAGTACCTGCCGCTGCCACGATTGAATTGCTAACAGCCGCCCCATTTACCACCGGCGGAGGCGGCAACGGCGGCGCCATCGCTTTCTTCCTCCGGCGAATCGAAAATTGGCCCTTCCCCATAAAGCTCTCTCTGTATCTCTCTCACTCACTCTCACCCCTTCCTCTTTAGAATCTTCTGAGGCTGCGTAAACAAAATATGTATGTAGAATAATAATGATGAACAATTATTGGGTCGGCAATTAGGGCATGTTCATTTGATTCTTTGTTCTTAACGAAGGAAGGGCAATGAATCTTCTTCTTCTGCTGTGTCTCTTTCTCCTTCTTCTTCTTCTTCTGCTTCAAGATCTTCCATATACTGCAAGCGTCTTTTAGGGAAAAAGGGGGAGAGTGAGAATTTCAGGCGTCGAGCTTTTGTTGATGGGGGTTACGGAATTGCTAAATTTCGTAATTTCCGTCAATTTTATTTATTCCTTCATGTTTAGATGGGCCCCACAAGTTTAGTTATTTTAAGATTTCCTCATTATTTTATTTACAGTTTGGCCCCACATTTTCGTAAAGGAGTTGACCTTTCTCTATTGTTTATTTATTTACGTTTCATACAAAAATTTCCTGTTTTGGTTTAAAACTTTTTGTGATTGGTGATGAAAAGATATTAGTAGTGTGTTGGAGCAATTGAGTAGGGAGTAATAATTTATTAAATTTCATGGTAGCCATTGAGATCATATGAATTATTGTGGATGCCAAAAATCTACCATGCATTAGCAACACTAATTGAATGCAACTTGAAAATAAGTAATAATAAAAGGATTAGAACAATAAAACTAATGCAAAAAAGTAAAGAACATAAAGTTTTTTCTTTAGATGCATCTTAATCTTCTTTCAATACAAAACCTCAAGTTTTGGATCAGAATATTAAGTGAAGTAAGCTAATCATAAATAAAACGGTTAAACTTTAGCATCAGATTATCCGATAAAAGTTTGATGGTCTACAAAACTCAAATCGCTTTTGTACAGGAATATATGTAGCAATGGCTAGAGTTAGGTTAAAAAATATTTATGAGTTGTTGTTAATATTTTTTGGAGAGTTATAGTATAGTTAGAATTCGTGTGCTAAGTGAGACTACATGTTGGGTCTAATGGTGCTTATGGTTCGATTTTTGTGAATAAAGAAGACAAACCAAGTATTTCGATATTTTCCCGACACAAAGTACAAATTCAGTAGCGGACAAGGAGAAAGGAAGAAAAAGCGATAGGGTAAAACAAACCAATATTTTGGACGACCACAGTGGGAGTCGAACCCACGACCTTCTGATCCGAAGTCAGACGCGCTAATCCACTGCGCTATGCGGTCCCTTTTGTCTATATTGATTTGACTTTTTATATGTTTCCTTTTATCCAGAAAAGGATTTTTTCCCCCTCCCCGAATGCTTTTATATATCCACATATATATAGTACAACTTTTGTTTCTACTTTAATGTTTTTTCTGGGAAAAGGTTCTTTAACTCCCCTGATAGTTGAATATGAAGGCAGCAATTCAAGAACTTTGATGATCATGTTGCCCTTGTCATATGTTATCGGTTATAGGTTTAGTATCGATAATCGAACCTATAAGATATCACGGATAGAGTTTGTGTTATTTTAGGTCAATTATATTATTCTATTTATCATCAAAGAAAACCAAATAATGCACACTAATACTGTACAAAAGACTTTAAAAAATATTACTACAGTACTATATTCAGCTGATAATTGATATTTTTGAGTGTTCAAAGAATGTCAAAATTGTAAAACAGAAGAATATCATTCACGGAGTATATCCTATGTAAAATGGAATTTTCCATCTCAAACAACTTTTTCCATCTTATAGGAGATTGAGCCTTTTTAATCCCTAATCATCAGACTGACAGATGAAGCACAATGGACCGTTGAGTGAGCTTCAAAGGACACAAGTTCCAGTTTTCGATCCTTGGCTTTACTTCAATATTTGGTACTTCAGATGTACAATGCATTTCCAGTTGTGCCTATATGATTATTACGTGGTAAGAGCGTCGGGAAGATTGGTTGGTGCCCCAAGAATCTTACCTCCAACATCAGGGAAAGACTCAAATCCAGGCAGTGCTGTGACTTGTCCATTTTTACTTACATGAACTGGATATTGCATTAAATGCCCTTTCATCGGCCGATATTCATCTGCTACAAATGCTTGCCAGTTGCGTCTAGCTATCTCGTTCACACGTCTAACACATTCGATAGTCTGTGGATCCTTGAACACATCTTCAACTGCACCAAGATGTTCAGCCCATAGAGACATCCGATAACCATAAACCTGAATGCAAGAAAAAAGAAAAAGAAGAAACTCATTTCAATGGATTATAAGGTTATACAACCGCGAGCTCCTATATTTGCTCCTGCTGAACTCAAATAAAGGTAAGAAATAAATCAAACTCCAAACCTGGCCATGTGGATGAGACTCCTTTTTGGCCCATGTGTAATGTGGTTGATAAGCTCCCATAGCTATTTCTGTATCCCTTGAACCACTCAAAGATCTTTGGTTGATATTTGCAGAACCCATCAACACATATTCATCATCTGCTATCATTCCTTTTGAATGCACATATATCATAAATCTGCGGAACTTTTGAGCCAATTCCTGCAGAGGTTTGAGAGAAGAAAAGACAAGGATTTCAGTGTATAGTCAGGATTTTATTGTTGACAATAGAAATGGAAATGGATGAGAAAAGCTTTACAAAAACTTGAAGAGTTATCAGTTGACATAAATTATTGTTCTACAAGCATCATACTGCTGACCCTAAAAATAGCAGTATGATTTCCACCAAATTCGATGATTTTGGTCGTCAGGGGCAGAGCTATCGTATAAGTTACGGGTTCGGATGAACCAATAGCTTTTGTTTAGACCTTGTATTTGTATTAAAAATCTATTAAATATGTATAACTATATAATTGTGAGCTATGGATCCAATGGCTAGTTCAGAACCCATAAACTTTATATCCTGGCACCACCTCTCTTGGTCGTGATGAAACTAGCATTATCCAAAATTAGCACAACAAGTTCTCCAGTACTTCCTCCGATGACTCCCATTCATTCTTCTTCATTTCATCGTCCTATTGTTGCTTTTTCTTAAATGAGAATATAAAGAGAACTAGCAATTTATAGATGTTGCTGTTTGAGCATCACCACCATCACCAGTTCTGAAGTCTTAATTGGTGCCAACATGTATAAAATCCAGTTACTTCAATGACATTAAAACCTAATTTAGGATGTAGCTAACCAACAAATAACACTTTAGGTAAACTACTACATTATCGGGCCATTAGTGAAAGTCCCAGTCCCAGAAAATTAACATGCAACTTACATGTGAATACTCCTGGGGAGGTGGATTATCTTCGTCACATCCTCCACGCTTCTTTGCTTCTCTGTTACCAAGGCAATAGAAGTTCAAGTAATCCTGAGGATGGAAAAATTGAGATATGCCTGCATTTTCAAGAGCCTGTGCAACAATTTTGTACATCATAGCCATTGTTTGACCCTGCGATTATCCCAATCCATATCCAAGAATTAGATGTTTATAAAAGCTAGTCTGAAACAACAAATTCAAGATAAGACTAGTTGGAGTTAACCAGGAGTAAAAGTGAAAATCATGGTTCTCTTAGCTGACTACGTAAGTTTAACCGCATTTGGGTACTTGAGTTTACCTTCATCACTGGAGTTGAGCTCAAACTTCTCGTGCGATATGTTACTTTGTACTTACTTCCGTAGGAAACAACATCTACAACTAAAAAATAAAGACCTCTACTATAAATACGTACAGTACTAAATCCAAACCTGCCAAAAGAGAATTTCCTGCACTGCATTACTGGTCGGGATTCCTTCAGGCCACATTGGAACCACAATGTATGCAGCAAAAGGTTCATTTGCTGCTATTTTGCTGGCAATTTTCAAAGCAATTTCCATAGGGACAAGGTTATTCGCACCTGTTAATTATATATAATACTCACATGTTATGCATTAGTGAGCATTAAAATCGCATTTTCTTGTCAAACAAGTCAAAATGCTCATTCATTTGCATCCTTTTTTTTAGATGAAGTGATAAATTTCAATAAAAGAAGGGAAAAACACCCCCATATACAAGAAGTTTACCAAAAAAGTAGAAAAACCTACAAGGCAGTACGATAAAATAATCTGGAACCAATGCCATCCTACACCAAAATAATGCCATGCATCGCCCACGGAAACATCATGAAGCATTGGAGAGAATATATGAATTAAAGGTTGCATCAGATATTACACCTATATCCCAACCAGAAATCCAATCCTCTATATCACAGTCAAGCTTTCTGTTTATAACAGTATTCTTTTGCTAGGCAAAACTTAGACTATCGCTAGAATACTCGAGGACGACTTTTGAATCTAGATAAGAACAGTTGTATACCTGCATTTCGGTAGGACGGCCAACAATATGAAGAACCAAGAAAATACTGATTCTCTATGTAAATGAAGTGTTGAGCAGATCGAATTGCTTTCACGTAAGCCAGGTGTATGCTTCTGTCTATCCTCAAATTCTTTCCACTGACAAGATTCTGTAATTGAACAGTCAAAATTAGGTATACATCTTCACATGCTGACTTGATTTCAGACACAACATTGAAACTATTTACAGATAGAACACTGTTTTTTTTACAACTTAGTGCTACCTGAGCCCCTGCTTCCTTAACGTCCTTTGGGAACCCTTTCACAGATCCTGAATCTATTGATCGGAAAACCTGGAAAAAGTAATTATACTGAAAATTTTAACATTTTAAGAAAACAGAAGACCACAACATATACAGGAGAAACATGCATGTATAGTACCTGAACATGCCAATTTTCTGGATCTTCTTCTCTTGTGACACGAACTACATGGTCACCATCAAGTCCAGCAGCAGGTATGTGGATTGATGGAATCCGGTCTAACTTAAGTAATGAATCTAACCCCGGTTTGCATTTTTTTATTCTGATCCATTTTATGGCCTTTCTATATCTCTGCTCGAAGTTTGTTAAAACATCGTAAGCAGCAGGACCCTCAATCTTGCAGTGTAAATCATGCCATGGTTCTCTTGGCCCACCTGAGCAACTCTGTACATATTATGTAAGCCTTTGAGACATTACTAATAATACCTCATATATTAATGAAAAAATTGTAACCTATTTTAACATATTTCCAGTATAATTAACATGAAAAAATTGTAGTCTCAGCTGTTAAGTTGTTTAGATAATCCATAAACTCACTATATGTCATATATACTTTAAATCTTTTAGAGACCTTGAAAAATCAAGCAAAAACCTTAGTTGAAAAGCTTCAATGAGATGCAAGACAACAGCTTACTGTGAATGTGGGATTGTGCACATCATTTTCAAAGACAG